TTATTTCAAGCTACTAAGTTTTTAGGCTCCCTCCATGTACCAAGGTAGTATTTCTGTCACAGACCCCTCCCTCTGGCTTGCCAGGGTCCCTGTTCTAGTTATTGAACTGAAAACAGATTCTAAATGATATATTTTTCCACTTTGGCACATTATGCCCCCAATTTAAGAGCTATTTATGGTAAGAAAAGTTAAATTATATTTCTGTTATTACTCAGCAGAACCTATAAGTTTAAAACAAACTGCGTCACATAGTTGCTAGTAAAAGACTTTGGATTTTGAAGACAAAAGAAAAAAAATTCCCTAACTACTACGAGGAAAACATTACCGTTCAGGTATCTAAATAGAAGTAGAATATGCTTCTAAATCATCCTTTTATCTTTCTGTACCTAATATAAACATGGTAGACGCATGATTGTCCTGTAGGAGCTATATCAACCTAGAATTGGAGTAGCAGAACTACTAATTAGACTGTGTCCTTTATAGCTTCTTGATATCGAAAAAAAGAAACAAGGAGGGAAGGAAAAGAAAAGAGTGAGAAAGAGATTTAAAAGACTGGTTGCTGGGGTGAAAAGGAAGTGTTTCTTTTGGTTTTTGTTTTATTTTCAATATTGGTGAATAAATTCTCTTTTTCAGAGTGTGAGAACTTCCTGGATGTTGGACTGGGCAGAGAGTGTACCTCAAAACAAGGTGTACTTAAAAGAGAATCTGGGAGTGATTCTGACCTCTTTCACTCACCCAGTGATGATATGGACAGCATCATCTTCCCAAAGGTATTGTGTAAACCTTCCTTTCATTTTTGTCCCATGGCTTTCGTGTTCCTATTTGGGCTTCCCAAACTCTTTTCCACTTTTTTCCCCTCTTGTGCTCATTGTCTTCCCAAGACATGTTGTTTCCCTAAATATGTAACTCCTGCTAGTAAGTTGTGATCCAGCTAGCCTTGTAGGGCCTCACTCACTCTGAGAGGTGTGTAAATGTTCTCTTGGAGAAGGAAACGCCAGATTACCAGGGTTTAGAAAAAGGCATTGGGCTGGGCATGGTGGCTCATGCCTGTAATCCCAACACTTTGGGAGGCTGAGGTGGGTGGACCCCTTGAGGTCAGGAGTTCGAGACCAGCCTGGCCAACATGGTGAAACCCCGTCTCTACTAAAAATATAAAAATTAGTTGGAGGTGCTCACTTGAACCCAGGAGGCAGAGGTTGCAGTAAGTCAAGTTTGCGCCACTGAACTCCAACCTGGGCGGCAGAACGAGACTCTGTCTCCAAAAACAAAAAAAAAAAAAAGGGAAAGAAAAAAGCATTGGCCAAAGTGATTTAATGTGAAATTGTGGCTAGTAAAATGCAGATTTTGAAGCTCATATAGGAGTCAAAAGAAATGGAAGTTCCTTTAGAATTAAGTCAGATGACAGTAAACACTTCTCAGTGGGCAGCAAGGACCACAGCTCAGACTATATGATGTCATATGTATAAACCAGCTGTAGAGTCATTTCTGGTTAATGTGTTTAGGCCTGAAGCTTCCTGTTTAGTGTGGTCATATCACTTATCCTCATCTAGCCTGCTTAATTGGAACTTTCTAGATCTCTGCGATGGAGCCCTTCCACATGAATCAGCTCACGTTTGCATATAATTTGAGACTGTCTAAGGGAGGTGGGGAATGGGGGCAGTTTGCTTTCTTTTGCTTATGTTTGTTTCTAGTTGCAGCAAGTTCTGTTTTGTTCCTCTGCGAAGAATAGAGGGCTTTCCCACAACAGAGATGGCAAATGCTACTCAATTATATGCCACAAGTGGTTTTCTTAATGGTAAGGAGGTGAAGAGGCAGAAACACTGTTGCATCTACCAAGGCGGTTCCTTCTAATTTTATAATGAGCTCGGAGAAGTGGTGAGGGCAATTGTGTTAGTGGGTGATTAAGTTGTCCAAGATGGTCAATGATGCTGTGTAGAAGTTACAAGAATAGGCCAGATGTGGTGGCTCATGCATGTAATCCCAGCACTTTGGGAGGCCACGGTGGATCACTTGAGGTCAGGAGTTCAAGACCAGTCTGAAAATGGTGAAAACGCGTCTCTACGAAACATATAAAAAAAATTAGCTGGGCATGGTGGCGTGTTCCTGTAATCTCAGCTACTTGGGAGGCTGAGGCAGGAGGATTGCTTGAACCCAGGAGGTGGAGGCTGAAGCGAGCCGAGATTGCACCACTGCACTCCAACCTGGGCAACAGGAGTGAAACTCTGTCTCAAAAATAAAAATAAAATAAAATAAAATAAAATAAAATAAAATTAAAAAAGAGAAGTTACAAGAATAGAGACCTAAAGATTTGGGAATCAGGAGCATATCAATGCCTCTGTGAATGTACCCTGTGTACCTTCCTTTCATTTTTGGCCTTCCCTAAGGCCAAAATGAGCCATCACACCTGGCCTATTCTTGTAACTTCTACACAGCATTTTTATCTTGAGTACATTGTCTTCCCAAGTTCCTTGGAAAGACTTATTTAATATGATGCAGCCTTAAAGATTTCTATCACTGTTACTCATAGTGACTTGACAAAAAATTCTATGAAGTAAAACCTCCACATTTAGAAGATCTGCCTTTCTCTTTTTACTTAGGAAAAGAGAAATCAATAGTTTTATTTTATTTTGTATTTTATTTTATTTTATTTTATTTTATAATATCAGAGTTTAGGTAATTTCCACTGTGACTTTGAGGTTTTAATTGTAAGGAATTCTATTCCCCGCAAGGGAATACCATTCTGAAGATATGTGTCGCTAAAAACATACTGAGATAAACAGATTAGATAGTATCTCTAAGTTCCAGCTTTAAAATGGGATCATTGATAATCACTGAAACTAGGTCATGGATATACAGATATTTGTTAAACATTTATATATGTTTGAAAATTTTAATGTAAAAAGTTTTTTTAAAAAATTGAAGTGTCTTAATTAAGAAATACTTGCTTGCAACCTCCTAGGTGCATGACAGCTTGTACTTGAATATTACCATCTCTGCAGACTCAGAGTTACTTCTGGTCACTTAACTGAATGGTTTTCCTAGCTAAGGATAATTAGAATTTTCTATATTCCTCCTTCTTAGTTTCCCAGAACCATTCATGAAATTGCTCATATAAATGACCTGTGCTAGATTTCGGAGTTTTTTTGTTTTTTTTTTTCCCCAAGAATACTAGACAGACATAATTTTTTAAAGTTGAAGGAGGCCAGGCATGGTGGATCTTAGCATTTGGGGAGGCTAAGGCAGGAGGATCACTTGAGTCAAGGAGTTTGAGATCAGCCTGAGCCAACATAATGGGACTTGTGTCTACAAAAAATACAAAAATTAGCCGGACATGGTGGTGCACACCTGTGGTCCCAGCTATTCGGGAGGCTGAGGTGGGAGGATCACTTAAGTCCAGGAGGTTAAGGCTGCAGTGAGCCGTGATGGCGCCACTGCATTCCAGACTGGGCGACAGAGCAAGACCCTCTCAAAAATAAATAAGTAAATAACACCTACATTTTATACCAGACTGCTTAGGGAAAACCAGAAATGGCAGGTTCACTTTCACCTCTTCATGTGTGCTCGAGAATGTCTAAATGGCCTGAGAAGAGATGGGGAGGATTTTTCTCTTAGTGTTTTTGCTCTACCAAAGTAGCCTGTGACCAGGGGAGGTTTTGCAATAAACGTTTGCTCTAGCATTAATGAAACCAAGGGCTGACTTACAAAAAGGAGAGAGAGAAACTAATATTGACAGGATACTTACTGTACAGTAGGTACTGAACTAAATTTTTAAAATATTTGATCTCAGTTTGTTGCCCATCAACCCTGACGAGTAGGTGGTTTTATGCTCTTAAGGAAATAGAGGCACTGATGGGTAAAGAAATGTATCTAAAATTATTTAGTAGGTGAGCAGCCAGCTTGAGGTTTGCATCTAGGCCTGACTCTAAAATCCATTCATTTTTTGTTTTATTCTCAACCTCTCCAAACCTGCCCTAATAGCCAGCGATTAAATAAAAGTGTGGCACTGGCAGATAGGCCATCAGCTGCTTCCTTAAAAGTCGTCCTCAGGGGTAATCCACAGAGGGTGCTATGCAAAATATCAAAATGTATTGCAGTTTGTTCCCAGGTTCTAACCCTCTTCTCCTTCTCTAAAAAATAATCTGTAGGCAAGAGATT